GGCCCACTTGTGCTTCACACAGAAGGAGGCGATGTGGCCCTCTCAATGTCGTTGGATTTACAACGGCTAGTTTTTGTAGACCGTTGGATTTTCAATGGTAAAAAAATTTAAATTTGACTTTTAAAATGGACCGTCCGATCACAGATCAACGGTCCACATTTTTTTCACCAAAAATAAAAATAAAAATAATAAAAAAGGCCCAACGGTCAGAATTATGACCGTTGGCCACGTGGCAGCACTTGGCTCTTGGATTTGAATATTTTTCAAATCCAACGGTCCAGATTAATTAACTATATTAAAATTTATTAAAAATTATGAAAAAATACAGAAAAATTATTAAAAAATACAGAAAATTTTTTAAAAAGTTAATTTTTTTTTCTATAAATACCTAACCCTCATCTTCCACCTTACACCACATTTCAATATTTTCTACACTTTCTACCAAAGCTTTCATATACTTTTTGTGTGAAAAAAAAAAACCAAAAAGCTCATCCTTAATTTTTTTTGTCCATATAAACCATACATCCCTGCATCCATCTTTATCGTTTTCAAATCTTGAGTTTTTTTTACAATGTCTTCTTCAAGGAGAGTGCATGAACAATTTGTGGAGCAACAGAAAAGATTGTTGGCACAACAAGAAGAATTGATCAATCTCGAGGAAGGTGGAGGTAGAGATGAGGCTTTCGCAATGGAGGATGACTCAGATGATGACCATAGAAGGCAGAGGGCCTCACATTCCCTCCGTGTCATGAAAGCTGTAGGCCAGATATCCAAACCCAGACGTGCCACAAATTTCGATAGAAAAAGGGAAATACGAGATAAAGATCTCTTGGAAGATTATTTTATTCCCAATAGCGTATTCCCTGATCATGTTTTTAGACGTCATTTTAGAATGCAACGAAGTTTGTTCAACAAAATCATGAATGCTATTTGCAACCATGATCCATATTTGTGCAAAAAGATGATGCTTTTCGTGTTCCAGGTCTTCTTCTAGAGCAAAAAATTACGGCTGCCTTGCGAATGCTTGCATATGTATTATCTAGATCAAGTGGATGAGATCGAGAGGATGGGAAAAACAACTGTTCTGGAGTCCCTGATGCGGTTTTGCTATGCAATTGAAGCCCTGTACACCAATGAGTACATCCGGACACCCGCCAAGGGACATGCGAAGGTTTCTGAGGAAGGGTGAGATGCGAGTCTTCCCTGGCATGATTGGAAGTATCGACTGCATGCACTGGAGTTGGAAAACTGTCCAAGTGCGTGGCAAAGAGCTTATGGTGACAGAAAAGAGGCAAAAGTATCATTTTGGAAGTGATGGCTTCATTTGATACATGGATTTGGCATGCTTTTTTTGGTGTTTCAAGAGCTCAAAATGACCTTGCTTAATCTCCAGTGTTCGACAATCTGCTGCAAGGAAAATCGACGACAGGCACATATTGGGTTAATGACACTAAATACGACGGACCATACTACCTTGCAGACGACATTTACCCAAGGTGGTCTACGTTTGTCAAAACAGTGCCACATCCACAGACTGAAAAAGAAAAACACTTCGCAAAATGTCAAGAGGGGTGTAGGAATGATGTGGAACGTTGTTTTGGTATCCTGCAAGCTCGTTGGGCGATTATCAGGTCTGCTGCTAGAATGTTTGGTGTCGAAGCTCTTCAATCCATCATGATGATGTGTATTATTCTCCACAACATGATTGTGGAAGATGAGTATGATTATGATGCTGTCGATGAATATGAGCCGGATCCGATGAACAACTTAAGAACACGTATCTACTGTGCTCATGATCGGACCGAAGATCCCGTGCAACACGAGCCATTGGAACGGGATGGACGTTACAATGAATTGATCGTTCAGCGGTACACTGATGTGCAAGAGCCATACTGGCACGTAACCCGCCATAATGACTTGATTGAGCACCAGTGGGGATTGCAAGAAGGTGAAGATAATTAAAATAAGCTTGTGGTTGAAGAATAAAGTGTATTTGATGAGTTTATGTAATTTTATTTTAGTGTGTTTTTTTTTTGTTTATTTGATGAGTTTATGTAATTTTATTTTAGTGTGTTTTTTTAAGTTTATTTGATGAGTATGTAATTTTATTATAGTGTGTGTTTTTTTTTAAGTTTATTTGAAATTTTATCCAAACTTGGTTAAAAATGTTATCTGAAAATAAAACTATTTTTTATTTATTTATTCTTTTAAAAAAAGTATAAAATTTTAAATGGGCTGGGTGCCAGCGCATTTTGTAGAGGTGGAGATGCTTTGGCCTATTACTGTTCACTGGGGTCTATTACTATTTACTTGAGTGGATAATATCGACTCATTCACATACCCGCAAACTTAGCTTTTTGCTTGTCCTCAAGCAAAATAAAACTAGAAAACAAAAACAAAAGCTAACAAACTACGTACTTAAACAAAATTTAACTACGACAAAATTTTCATCTTCAAACTGCAATCCATAGAAAACGTTAAAAATTAGAACATCTTTCCAAAAGTTCCAACTAATCCCACCACAGAGGCTAAGCCATTTAAAACGAAAAATTTAAACGGACTCTCAAAAAACAAGAAAGAAAAATCTAAGATTTTACTTTCCCACCCCCAAACTTAAACACACATTGTCCTCAAGGTGTGAAAAATAAAATAAACTTAAACTAACAGCTAGCTAGAGAATAGAATAAAAACCGAAATTAAGAAAAAGATAATATAATAATAAAAGCGAAAATGCTGAACAAAACCAAAGAAAAAGAAAGATATTACCTTGCTTGAAAATGAAGCTGTTGGACTACTGGACATGAAGCAAATGTGCCATGATGTGGCTCATTCCAGCAGAAGATGAAACAACCCATTGATTACCAAGCCTAAATCCAAAACATCCCAGCCAGCTTGTTAAAGCCTACTCGGATGCTCATTCCTTGAGCCCAGAGCCATTTCTCTCTCGAAAACCAAACCCATGCCCCAAACTCAAATCCTCCAATGAATCTCATGGTCCAAAACATACTTCACCATGATCTCATCATTCCTCGGCCATAGCTCAACCTCAAAAACAAATACTCAGCCATGCCCCCATAGTTGTATCTCTGTTCATTTCCATCTTTATCAAAAACTGAACCCAGCCATGGCAATCTTTGATTCTAGCCCAGATTGTCACCATCGGGCATTTCCTCTGCGGAACTCAAGCGCCAATATGAGGAAGAAAAGTTTTGGCAGAGCCTATGATTTTTAGATCCAAAAGGAAGGTAAATAGCCGACAACCCCCAAACTTATTCGTTGTTTCTTGATCTGAATTTGTGAAAGTTAGTCCTTGGATCTGTTTATAATGTGATGCATTAGTATACTTTCCCTTGAAATTTTTCTCTGTGTTCATGTATGACTAAATTTATTTTGCATGTCTCTTGATGATGAACACATGAGCTCAAAAATCTGTGCATTATGATTTTTCAATGTGATCGGTACATAGGGTAGTACACCACGTGTCATTATACAAATGGTGGGATATGTGTGCTAAAAAGTTAATAACTTAAAAAATAAAATTTCTCACTACTCCTATTAAAACACGTGATGTACCACTTGTATTCCCGTCACAACTAAAAATTTCTTGGACATGAGGTCAATCTGTGTATTGACTTGATGAATGTGCTCCCCACTGTGCTGCCTGGACCACCCCCAAACGTATATGTAAAACAATATTCTTATGAAATACGAGAGCGAGCGAGCGAAAGGAGTTTCCAAGCAGTACAGTCAACCCATTGTAAGGTTTCTGAAACACAAGACTCCAGTTCGCATTCTTTTTTAAATTTCTGAACTTTGATAAAATGTTGATGAATGTACTGAGATGAATGAATGCTGCATGATTCAGTCGAATGAATGTTGATTGCATGCAGCGGAATTTAGGACTAAATTGCCTCCAAAAGCAACTTGCAAAGATCAAACATTAAAAATTTGATTAGAATAAAACCCAAAATAAAATACTGATTAAAAAAAAACATTTGTTGTTTTTGTGTTGTTCAATTTTCTGATTTTTAAAATAATTTTTTGGGTAAAAGACTGTTTACTACCCTCATGTTTTGTGGTTTTCAACATTTAGTACATCAAGTTTTTTTCGTCTCAGATTCATACCTAAAGTGTAAATTTTGGGACAGTCTCATACATCCGTTAGTCAAACTGTTAAATTTTCCATTAATTGTGACGTGTCACCATGACTGGATGCCATGTGTCTGTGACGTGGCGCCATATCATGGTCTTCAAACAACAAAGTGCACAATTTGTAGCTTTAAATCCATAAAAAAACTCCATTATGCAGAGTTGACCCATAAGGGCAGTCCTCCTAGTTGTATATTGAATCCAGGAGGAGGAATAAATTCCATTGTTGCACAAATTGTTACCTATAAAAAAAATAAAATCAATTAGATAAAAAGTTATGTACAAAAATAATTAACTAAGAATATGATAAACACAAATTATTTAAAACAATCCCTGGTAGCGGCGCCAATTTCTTAATAGGGATTTTTATCACCTGCAAAAGTAGGGATACAAAGTGTTGTACCATATATTGGGCTTCGATATTTGAGCTTATATATGGGCTTCACCACTAAGCCCATGATTTATGTAAGAGGGGAGGGAACCCTTACTCTATAAAAGGGATCCTCCTCACCTTCACTTAGGGGGGACTGAACGGGAAAGGGAAACAGATAGAGAGGCAGAGAATAATACAGAGAGCAAATACTAAGCCTCTATAGCCTCCATGCATACTGTAACCTTCATCAACATTTATCGACATCAGTGTGGACGTAGCCCAACTTGAGGTGAACCACGATATATCTTTGTGTTCTCGTGCGCTTGTGTGATTCACGATCGGATTTACGTTGGTCCAAGATACGTCGAATTTTGTGCATCAACATTTGGCGCCGTCTGTGGGAAACGACAGGAAAAGTTATGTCGGTTCTCTTTCATTTTTTCATCTCACCATTGTGAAACCCTTACAACTGTCCACCATGAATCTGCACAACCCAACCCAAGTCTCCGACGAAGAAGCAAACCTCTTCGCCATGCAGCTAGCCAACGCTTCTGTTCTCCCTATGGTGCTCAAAGCAGCCCTTGAGCTTGACCTCCTTGAGATCATGGCGAGAGCAGGGCCTGGCGTATTCGTTTCTCCGGCGGACTTAGCTTCGCAGCTACTGACCAATAACCCTGACGCCCCCGTTATGCTGGATCGCATGCTGCACCTCCTGGCTAGCTACTCCATCCTCACTTACTCCCTCCGCACGCTTCACGACAGCAATGTCGAGCAGTTGTACGGCCTCGGCCCCGTCTGCAAGTTCTTGACAAAGAACGAGGATGGTGTTTCCATTGCCCCTCTCTGCCTCATGAATCAGGACAAGGTCCTTATGGAGAGCTGAGCTCAAGTCGACGAAGATGAATGCTGTGGGGAGATAGATGTCGCGATCCAGTTCGTCAATGCACCACCACCATCGTCAGAGTTTCTGTTGTCGAGCTCGGTGAAAGGGCTCAAGGCTCTGCTGTCTGTTGCTGCTCACAAGAAGCTATATTTTTTTTTATCAGCTTCACAAGGACTTCCCTGAGTCGCCGTACATCGCGTTCCCGTCGGCAACCTCGTGGTCGGCATCGACTTGGTCTCTATCGCTCCATTCCTCTAACACCACGACAAACCTGCACCATAACTATGCCAATGCTGCATAGCTGCTCACAAGCTTGGCACGATGGCTGAGTGGGTTATCAGAGAATATGCGTACTATGGTGCAGTGTGCAACATGAGCATGACAGCGCAAGGTGTCGACCATCAACATGGAAGAAGCTAAGAACTTTATCTTTTCTTAAATGATTTGTTTAAAATTATCACTGTTTATTTAATATTTTATTATTATTTTGTCTTGATCTTGTTACTGCAGCGTCTGCTTTACAGTATGCATATTCTTTAAAATGAGACCACATCATTTCTATCACATTTATATTTTAGTGCACAGTTAGCAATATATTATATTGTTTTCATAACCTGTGTGCATATACAGTGCGACACCTCACAATATATATATATAATGAGTCCCCATTGCCATTATATTAAAGCTACATGACTACTGTTGTGTGTTTATTATGCCGGGTCACATCACAAACCATAATCATTCCTATCATAACTTTAGTATTATTACCCTTTGATATTGTCAGCCATCCCTCTTTTAAAATGATATAACTTTAATCATTTTTTGAATATTTTATTCATTATTTAAATATTAGTATAAAACTTTGGGCTAACCTTTATTTGATTACCCACTGTCTCACTATCGGTTTGGGAAAACCCATTAAGGAGATTAATCCATGGCAACCACACCACATGCATTCTATGTTACATTATTAAATTTCATTGAATTATATTGTCACATACACATTTCACTAGGCATACTACATTATTGTATGTTTATATGATCTATGTATGACAGTACCCGCAATATGCACACTTTAATGATTGATTGCTTGTATACGATACTCATACAATTTATTGATTAACCAGGGACCAAAATTATGGTGGTCAACACTATGGATCAGCCTATGGATCACTGAGCCACATGCTTATGGTGACAAAGATTTAGTCCGAACGATAATCTCTTGTCCGACCGAACACCCACTTGCTCAGACACTCACTTATAATGAGCGCACGCTGACGTCGAGTGCATACTCGCAATGAGGAACGCCACAAGCCGAGTTGCCTTGCAATGAGCACCACCTCTAGCCGAGCAATCGTTTCGTCGAGAGCATTGCCTCTAGCCGAGCAGCCTCGCAACGTATGCTACCTCTAGCTGAGTATTGCTTGACGTTAAGCATCGTCTCATGTCGAGTACCAGATCTAGACGACATCTAGTCACTTCGGCCCGTACATGGATTGGATTTGAAGTCTCCAGCCAACACATAGACCCATATACAAACCCAACAAGCGGATCCAAGTCATGTCGAGAATTAACTCATAATGAGCTCATGCTGATGTCGAGTGCATACTCGCAACGAGGAATGCCACAAGCCAAGCTGTCTCGCAATGAGCACCACCTTCAGCTGAGCAACCGCGTCGCCGAGAGCATTGCCTTTAGCTGAGCAGCCTCGCAACGTGTGTTACCTCTAGCTGAGTATTGCTTGACGTTAAGCACCGTCTCATGTTGAGTACTAGTTCTGAACGACATCTAGTCATTTCGGTCCACACATAGATTGAATTTGAAGTCTCCAGCCAAAAGACTCTCTTAACAGAAAACTTGGGGGACTCCTGTTGTACCATATATTGGGCCTCGATATTTAGGCTTATATTTGTGCTTCACCAATAAGCCCATGATTTATGTAAGAGGGGAGGGAACCCTTACTTTATAAAAGGGATTATCCTCACCTTCACTTATAGGGGACTGAGCGGGAAAGGCAAACAGATAGAGAGGCAGAGAATAATACAGAGAGCAAATACTAAGCCTTTATAGCCTCCATGCATACTGTAACCTTCATCAACATTTATTGACATTAGTGTGGTAGCCCAACTTGAGGTGAACCACGATATATCTTTGTGTTCTCGTGCGTTTGTATGATTTACGGTCGGATTTACGTTGGTCCAAGATCCGTCGGATTTTGTGCATCAACACAAACATTTAAAATACTTGCAAGAGTATAAGGTAATCGTAGTATGGTTGGCACTAACAAGATTGTTCTCCACAAAGATTGAATGAATAATTTATGTAAAACCAAATCTTAATTAATTATTTGAAAACAAAGTTTGAAAAAGTATGATTTTATAAGCTAAAATATTAAAAATGAATTAAATTAAAAACAATTAAATAAATTGACAAAGTACATAAAAGAAAAGAAAATAGTTTTGAAAATCTATTTAAGCACTAGGGTTCCGCCGTCACCTTAACAATCCTATGTAGTTCTTCCAATTATTTATGAATTACAAATGCATATTTTGAAGTTTAGGTTTTCCTGAAGTATGTCCTACTTGGAACCTCCAACATAGAACGTATATCTAACATGCAACCCGTTCGTGGTGTCCGGATTGAATGTGAACATGCAAGACTAATTAAGTTTTGTGAAAACCTTTTGAAAAACCATGTAACCCTTAAGATGTGTTGTTCATCCTAAGAAATTGCACATATTAACCACAAGAAGCCTTAGTCAATTTTAGGGACAGCCCTCAGCCAAAATTGCATCAAATTACTTTTCTAAATATTCTAATGGTGGCCAATCATCAAGACAATTAGATAGTTTCAAACACAGTGATTAACAATTCAAAACTTGCATGCATAATATCATAAGCAAATTGAAAAGAAACTGCATATTCTTGGTACGGTTTGTGGCCTCACCCTAACAAACGAAATTAGTTACTAACAATCATAAAACAAAATATTATTCAAAACATAGATAGAAAATACATTGAAAATAAACTTGAATCGTCAAAAGCTCTCTACAGCCAAAGTATTGTGTTCTCCATCTCCCTTTCTTCAAACTCTAATAGCTAAAAAGCTTTATTTATACTAATACAAAATAAAACCCTACCTAAAAAAAGTCTTAGAATCAAACAAGGAAACATAATAGAATAAGATAACTAGAAAATAAAAGGTTTCCTATTTAAACTGAAATTCAGACTTCTAAAAAAATCAGACTTTTAACCGACCAAATCAACACCGATTTGGTCCCAAAAGGTCTCTTTTGAAAGCTTAAGTTGTTCCCAACAAATACTCTCGTTGATGCACAAAACCGAAGGGGTCTTGGAACAACGGAAATCCGACCGTGATCGTGGTTCACCCCAATGTTTGGGCTACGTCCACACTGATATTGTATTTCTGAGGGAGATAGAGCTCTGCATATGAGAGTGAGAGCTTTGAGAGAGCTTAGAGCTTAGGGGATGTGAGGAGGCTTAGGGTTTGTGAGGGTGATGATGCCCTTTTATAGAATAAGGGCTCTTCCCCTTTTTACATATTTGCCCCTCCATTTATTACATAATTACATTTGAGTCCTCCGAGTATTTATACGAGGTCTAAATACAGAGGCCCTAAGTATGGTATAAACAGTAGTCCCCCAAGTCTTCAGTCAAGAGAGTCTTTTGGCTGGAGACTTGAAATTCAGTCTATGTGTGTGCCGAAGTAACTAGATGTCGTCTAGAACTGATACTCGATATGAGGCGGTGCCCAATCTGAAATGATGCTCAACTAGAAGTAACATATGTTGCGAGGTTGTTCTGCTTGTGGCTTATGTTACCTTGGTTGGCTCGGCTTGTGGCGTTGAAGGTGAGGGAGTCCCTTTTATAGAATAATGGCTCGCTCCTCAATACATAAATATGGGCTAAGGTTGATGCTTGCGGCGAGGCGGTTGCTCAGTAGGCGGCGATGCTCTCTAATGATGGTGAGGGAGTCCCCTTTTATAGAATAAGGGCTCGGTTCTCAATACATAAGTGATGGGTTAGGAGTGATGCTCGCAACGAAGTGGTTGCTCAGCTGGCGGCGATGCTCTCTAATGAAGGTGAGGGAATCCCTTTTATAAAATAAAGGCTCGCTCCTCAGTACATGAATAATGGGTTATGAGTGATGCTCGCGGCGAGGCGGTTGCTCAGCTGGCGGCGATGCTCTCTAATGAAGGTGAGGGAGTCCCTTTTATAAAATAAGGGCTCGCTTCTCAATACATAAATGATAGGCTAGAGTTGATGCTCTCTAATGATGGTGAGAGAGTCTCTTTTATAAAATAAGGGCTCGCTCCTCAATACATAAATGATGGGCTAGAGTTGATGCTAGCGGCGAGGCGGTTGCTCAGCAGGCGGCGATGCTCTCTAATGAAGGTGAGGGAGTCCCTTTTATAGAATAAGGGCTCGCTCCTCAATACATAAATGATGGGTGCTTTCTAATGAAAGTGAGGGAGTCATTTTTATAGAATAATGGCTCGCTCCTCAGTACATAAATAATGGGCTAAGTCCCCCAAGTATTTTTCATGAGGCCCAATATATGGTACATAGTGTAGCCCCCCAAGTCTTCGGTCAATAGAGGCTGTTGGCTGGATACTTTAAATTCAATCCATGTATGGGCCGAAATAACGGTTATTCGGAGGCGGTCTTTGTAGACCATGCACTGAAGCTTTATAGGTGAAGCTTTGCAAGTTGAAGCTTTGAAGCTAGAGCTCTGTAAATGAAGTTTTTGAAGTTAGAGCTCTGTAAATGAAGCTTTTGAAGCTGATTGACATAAGTGATGCTCATGAATGTTTATGTTGATTAACATGAGTGATGCTCATGGATGTTGACATGAGTGATACTCATGAATGTTGACATGAGTGATGCTTATGAATGTTGACATGAATGATGGTCATGAATGTTTATGTATGATTGACATGAGTGATGCTTATGAAATGTTTATGTATGATTGACATGAGT